AGACTACAAAGGAATCCTGAATAATGACAAACTGGTTAAGAACTAGACAAATCAACTGGCATCTGACTCATCTTCTGTTAATAACGTTATTCAAGGTTATGATAGCAAGGCTAGATACAGTTTGGGCTAATATTTATTTCATACCATCTGTCAGTGGAGTCTAAGAACACTTGTAATTAAGTAGTTACAAAACATGGTCTGACATGGAGACTAAATGACCAGTCAACATTCACACAGCTCTCTTAAATCAAATATGCAAAAGAAATTAAGCCAAAAGCTTTATTTGCCCAGCCCATTTCACAATAAGATGGGATCCAAATAGTTGAAAGGGTTAGAGAAGAAAGTTGTTCTATACCAACAGAAGACTTTGTGTATTATCACTGTGGTAACAGGCTAAACACTATATATTCTGTGATCAATTCTTCTGCCCAACTTGAAAGTCAAGATGACCAGCTTCAGTGAAATCTACTGAGTTCTTCCAATGTAAAGCCTTTGGTAAACATGACAAATCAGTCCAACAGATAACGTTTTTTTATATTCACAAATCAGTATTCAAATAAAAGGTCAAGATTTTTATAGGTGCTGGTGTTCGAGCTCTGAAAGATCTAGATAACTTGTATGTGCCAAAATATGCAGGGTAATGTGTTTTTTAGTTCAGCTGAAGCTTAAACAGATCAGGAAACGTATGAAACTCAGAACAATTGCTTGAGATTATACTTGATAATCCACACTTGGTAAAAATCTGCATTTATTTTTGGTGCTCCTACTTCTATCTGAATAATTAGGTGTTTTAGAAAGAGAAGACAATTTTTGTAATTTCATCCAAGTGCTCAATCATCCTAACAACAGATCTTTTACTCTAACAAGAGATATATTATGCAAGCCAGGAAGAGGCTTAATTTGCTTAATTTGTTGTGCACGAAGAACACACTTTTCAGAGTAGCAGCCATGTTAGTCTGTATTCGCAAAAAGAAAAGGAGTACTTGTGGCACCTTAGAGACTAACAAATTTATTTGAGCATAAGCTTTCGTGAGCTACAGCTCACTTCATCAGATGCATCCGATGAAGTGAGCTGTAGCTCACGAAAGCTTATGCTCAAATAAATTTGCTAGTCTCTAAGGTGCCACAAGTACTCCTTTTCTTTTAACAACACACCATCCATCAGAAGTTTTATACTAGTTAACACTAGCATTCAGAATGCATGCACAGTTTTTTCTTGGGGAGGGGAAAGAAAAACAAACATAGGAAACACAAAGGGGATGGTTAAGTCCAAACTCTTTTCCTGTGCCAACAGAAGGGGAGAATCCTTTGCGTACCTCAACTACACTGGTCTCATGGTAAAAGGACATGATCCTATACATGCACTGGAGCTAATGATGGGGACTGCCAAGGGAGAACCAGGAAGTCAGAGAAAGAAACTGCTTCATACATAATCACAGGAATGCATAATCACAGTCCTTGTGGTGCTGGTAAGTACCATTCTATTCCAGCACTTGCTCTCCTTGATTTTTAACTCACAAGATACAAGTAGCCAAGTAGAGTTGTCAGAAGTTGCTATGGGTTTACCACTACCCTCCCAAAACAATATTTTACTATGACCCAGACCTCAGATCTTGCAATTGGATCTGCACAGACAGAACTTTGAACCTGCAGAATTCCAATGCATTCATGAAGGACAGGATTAAGACACAGACACATGCTCAGGGCTCCAGCTCCTAGAGGCATATGATTACATTAGAATCTGAGCTTTCATTTGGGGAAAAAATTGTAAGCTGTTAACCCTCATATTTGTGAAGAAATGTAAGTGTAATCCACCATCCACCTAAATCTGCAGAGGGCCTAAAACAAAGCTCTGAGAGGTGTATACTTTCCCAGTGCATCTCAATGTGGTGTTAACTTTAAGATCCACTTCTCTGAAGGACTATGCTCTATCTACACCACCCCAACAGAAGACTAAGGTGGAAAAAAGCACAAAGGGTTGAGTTGGCATTTTCATGGCAGATACATACCGACTGTTTGTTAAGGAGTGATGTGTTTTACTGTTACCCCACCTCAATCAAGGGTAAGGTAAAGGGTGAGAGGAGGCTCCTCCTTGATGGAGGAGAGCCCCTCTCCACACATATCACGATGACCCATCAAGGACCCTACATTTTAGTTTCAGAGTAGCAGCTGTTGTTAGTCTGTATTCGGAAAAAGAAAAGGAGTACTTGTAGGCACCTTAGAGACTAACCAATTTATCTGAACATAAGCTTTCGTGAGCTACAGCTCACTTCATCGGATGCATTCAGTGGAAAATACAGTGGGGAGATTTATATACATAAAGAACATGAAACAATAGGTGTTACCATACACACTGTAACAAGAGAGTGATCACTTAAGGTGAGCTATTACCAGCAGGAGAGCGGGGGGGGGGGGAGAAGGGGGGGGCACGGGACTTTTTGTAGTGATAATCAAGGTGGGCCATTTCCAGCAGTTGACAAGAACATCTGAAGAACAGTGGGGGGCTGAGGGGGGAAAAAAACATGGGGAAATAGATTTACTTTGTGTAATGACCCATCCACTCCCAGTCTCTATTCAAGCTTAAGTTAATTGTATCCAGTTTGCAAATTAATTCCAATTCAGCAGTCTCTCGTTGGAGTGTGTTTTTGAATTTTTTTTTGAAGAATTGCCACTTTTAGGTCTGTAATCGAGTGACCAAAGAGATTGACGTATTCTCCGACTGGTTTTTGAATGTTATAATTCTTGACGTCTGATTTGTGTCCATTTAATTCTTTTATGTAGAGACTGTCCAGTTTGACCAGTGTACATGGCAGAGGGGCATTGCTGGCACATGATGGCATATATCACATTGGTAGATGCGCAGGTGAACAAGCCTCTGATAGTGTGGCTGATGTGATTAGGCCCTATGATGGTGTCCCCTGAATTGACATGTGGACACAGTTGGCAACGGGCTTTGTTGCAAGGATAGGTAATCACTCAATTACAGATCTAAAAGTTGCAATTTCACCCCCCCTCCCCCCGCTGGTAATAGCTCACTTTACCTGATCACTTTCCTTACAGTGTGTATGGTAACACCCATTGTTTCAAGTTCTCTATGTATATAAATCTCCCCACTGTATTTTCCACTGAATGAATCTGATGAAGTGAGCTGTAGCTCACGAAAGCTTATGCTCAAATAAATTGGTTAGTCTCTAAGGTGCCACAAGTACTCCTTTTTTTCCTGCATTTTAGTGAAGTCCTGACTTTATGTAGGCACTGTGATTAAATCCTTCTCTGGTCACTTTTTCTGGAAATTAACAAAACTTTAAGACATATTCCACATCTGTCTGATACCTCATGGAATAGATAACAAAGCAGCTGACACATGGAAGTGAATGAAGTTGGGACATTCTTGGCTTTCACTGTGGTCTTGCAAATAGATACATACAAAAGCCTAAAGTTATGAATGCCACAAATGGATTCTCTTCCATATGTCATCTACTATATTCCCATGAGCTACCAGACAGATGTGGAATACACCATTCTAAAGCCTAATTAATTTCCAGGAATAAAAGGCTTTTGACTGAGAAAACAGAGACACATGTTCAGACTTAACAATTTTTAAAAAATTCTTACTCGAGCAGTTTATGATAATTTTCAATTAGGAATTGTGCATTTGTTGCTGTTCTTCCCCTTGTCGTAAGATACCCAGTCAGTTTTAAAAACTGAAACAGAGGGGATGGATATTAATTTGCTGGTAATTTGGCCAAATCTGAATTTTGTAATTATACTGCCTACCTAATCCATCCCTACAGGTTCAACTGGAAACAGTATTCTTTGCCTTCTTGTCCTAAATAGCTACTTAGTGTTGATGCTGTCAATCAGCTGCTGTGCTCCACCTCAGAGGTGGCTGTATTTTAGTGATAGACAATGGAATTGATGCACCCAGCTTGTAAAACAATACGAGATCCCTCAGCCCGAGGCAAGTACTTAAAAATCCTAGATGTATTCCAAATGCATTTCGGCCACACAGTAAAGCAGCAGCAGGCTTCGGCAAGACGCTGACAGGCAGCCTGGTAGAAATTCAGCGAGCAGCTTTCAGCGTTTTAGATGTTGCCAAAAAAATCCCAGCCCTGAGTCACAGGCTGCAGCAGCGCGTCCCCTCCTCCGCCGGCCCGCTGTCCACAGCGCGAGCCCCGCGCCCCGCCTGCACACCCACAGCCCGCGCCCCGGCAGGGCTCGCGCCGCGGCAGAGGCGAAGCCCCGACTGGCTTGCCCAGCCCCGTGCGCAGCAGTTACCCCCGCCCCGGCGTGTCCCCCAAAAAGCAGCCGCGGAAGGGGGGGACGGACCGTACAAAGGACACGCAGCGGCAGTGACAGCGGCAGCCATGGCTCCCGCAGCGGCAGTGACAGGCTGCGAGAGCGGCTGGCAGAGCCCTTCCCGCGACCGGCATCACCCGCAGGCCGGGGAGAAGGGGCCGCGCACAGCGGGGCGGAGCAGGGCAGCCACCCTGGTGCTACCCTTCCCCCCGGAACGGGGAGACCGACAGCCGGGGGACGGGAAGGGTCACACACACACACACACCCCCGCGCTCGGGGACACACACGGCTGGGGACAAGGGGTTACCCCAGGGCGCAGCAGGCTCCGGGCGGTGGTGCCGCCCCCAGGACAAGGGCGCTATAACTGCGGCTCCCATCGGGGGTGGGGAGAGGGACAGGTTCGGGGGTCTCTCTCCTTACCTTGTCAGAGAAGGAAACAGCAGGACTCGTTCCTCCTCCTCCTCCTCCCGCGCTGCCCCTATGACAGGACCCGACGAAGAACCGGATTCAACCGCTGCGGACGGTTCCCGGAGACTCAGACCCACACCGACCACCGCCGCCGCCGCTGTAGCGTTTGAAAGTGCCCCCCCTCCTCCCCGGCACTGCCGCTCCCCTCCCCCCCAGTCAGAATGTCGGTCTCCGTGTGCAGCTCTGCGGAGCTCCCATTGGCCGCGCCATCCCACGTGACCCCAAACACGCACGCGAGACAGACGAGAACGCGCCGCCGCGAACGTTACGGGAGTTGGGCGGCGGTTGGGGAAGGAGGGAGAGTCAACGTCACCGCCCTCCTTCCGCAGTCACTCCGCCGGTGCATCAGATCTCTCGTGCACACGCGCGCAACACACGCACACGGAAGGAAAATAACGGGCCCTGGCAGGGCCGGGGGCGGGGCAGCAGGCAGGCGCGGAGCAGGGCGCAAGCGCCGGGACGGCTGGTCTTGGTCTTGGCTCCTGCGGCTGGAACATTCTGGAAATGGCGGATGCGATGTCCCGGAGATTGAGACGGGAGGGGATGGGGGAAGAGACTAGAGCACCTGCTTCCCCTTGTGACAGGAACCGAGTAGGAGCCGCCACCGATTCCTCCCGACTCTCAAGCCCAGGGCCCCCTACTTGAGCTACACCGGGTTTTCCGGCAGCGATGGCGCAGTGAGTTTTAACTACCCGCAGAGTGCGCATGCGCGGCTGGCTCCGGTAAGCGGTGACTGGCTCGCGCTGCGCCCGAATATGACGGGGGACGGGCCCAGGGGAGGGCGCGCGTCCTCCCCCGACCCTGCCGCTTGCTTCACGGGCCGCGCCGTGGCACGCTGCGCTGAAGGGGGCAGCCGCGCTGACGTGTGTTAGGGAAGCAGCAGCGGCCGGAGCGAGCATTGGCCCCGTGGCTGTGGCTCACGCAGCGCGGGGGTCAGCGTGTCGTCTAGGCCCTGCCGCGCCTTGCACCGGACGGTGGCTGTTCCCCGCCCCCCAGAGGGGGCGCCTTGCAGTACTGAGACAAGCTTCGATCCTTCCGAGGCTGGCGCTCGGCTTCACCCCCACGAGGAGGGCCACTCGCTTGTCTTCGCCGGCTCAAGGCTCCCATCTGCTGAGCTCGGGGGAGCCACGTCCCGTACAATGTCATTGCAGTTTGTATTCAAGCTTTTAACACTGAATCCTTTCACTCGTTGGTGTCGTTCAGTTTTACCTTTTTATTGAGGGCATGACATGCTGCAGCTTCGTTAATCCGTTCCTGGTTTATTCTGCCGATGCTTTTTCCAGTAGTAATCAGCATCCTTGCGTGAGATAATGATAAACGTTTAGTGAAGTCAGCTGATACCAGTTAGACTGGATTCTAATCCCTTTTTACAGGATTACTATGTTTGTAGTGTTTTTAAAAACAGCATGCTTCCCCCCAATATTTTTTTAAAGGAAATCATCCATTTTCATATGCCATTGTTTGAGCATTTATAGAAATGAAGAAACCCGAAATTTGAGATTGTACCATTTTCTGCCCTGTATTACTCCTAAGGGCATTCTGCACCAAAAAAAAATAAAAATTCTGTGAATATTTTAAAATTCTGCAAATTTTATTTGTCAAATAAATGTGGAGGCTTCAGCATGGCATGGGGTAGCACAGGCCAATGGCTGCACAGAGGTGGGAGATCACTGTGCAGCCCCCCATCCCACCCCTGGAACATGGACTTGGGTCTGGTCTACACTGGGGGGGGGGGGGGAAATTGAGCTAAATTACGCAACTTCAGCTATGTGAATAAGGTAGCTGAAGTCAACATACTTAGATCTACTTACCACAGTGTCTGTTGACGCTCCCCTGTCGACTCCACCTGCACTTCTCGCTCCAGTGGAGGACCGGAGTGGAGGGGAGAGCGCTCGGCGGTCTATTTATCATGTCTTCGCTAGACACGATAAATCTACCCCTGCTGGATCAATTGTTCCGGAGGTGAGTGTAGACATGCCCTCAGTGGTGAGGCTGTACTCAACCCCGACACCGCACAAGGACCAGGAAACACCTCGTGCACCTGTCATGGAGGGCCAGGGCCCTGGGGTATGGGCAGAAAAGGCTCAGCAAGGCAGGATCCAAGTGTGGAGGGGCTTAGTGTGGGGGGAATCCAGATGTGGGTTGAGAGGGTTGTGTGTGGGGCAATCTGGGTGCAGGTGGCTGAGTGAGGGATTGGGGTGGGGGATCTGGATGCACAGGGGCTTGGGGAGTTTGCAGGGGGGTACAGGTGATGGTTGGGGTTTCAGCAGGAGGGTCTGGGTGTGTGTGGGGGATAGAGCTTGGCAGGGGGTGTTGGTTGTGGGAGGCTCTGTGGGAAATCCAGATGCTGGGGGAGTGGAGTTCAGTGGGTTGGGGATCCACATGCAGTTGGTTGGAGCTCAGTGGGGTGGGGATTCAGGTGCATGTGACTCGGCAGGGTGGTCTGGGGAAGGGGGGCTCATTGAGGGTTCTCAGTGTGGGGGCATGAGGCTCGGCAGGAGGGGTTATGAGGAGGTCTGGAGGAATGGGGATTAGGTGGATGAGGGAGCAGGACCCTGTACAGGGATCCCTCCCCCTGCAGCTGAGGAGCGATGGGTGCAGGAAGTGGCAGGGGGAGTTTGCAGAGCTTTCTGCAGCCGAGGGAGAAATCTGGGTGTGGGTCTAACCTGGTCCCAGATACAGTGTAAGGGAAGAGGAAGTCCTGTCCTCCACAGCCCAGCGGGTACTAGCAGCTGAGCCCACCACAGGGTTGCAGCCAGCAGCCAGGTCTTTCCCAGTCCTGCCCTCTGTTGCACAGTGATTTAGGTCCCTGCCAGCTGCCTTGGGCACATGAAAAATACTGTTGGGAGGGTCTCATGACCTCTCTTATGGCTTCCCTTGGCTTCCCCGTCAAAGTCATTTTTCTGCGGGGAAGCAAAGAAATCTGTGGGGGACATATATTCTGCACATGTGCAGTGGTGCAGAATTCACCCAGGAATACTGTATATAATTGTAGCACCACCTTCCCCTAGATCATGTCTCCTATCTGTATCTAGCAATATACTACAGGAAGGGCATTGTACCTATCAAGATTTCCACTTTGTCCCCTTATAGCAGCAATAAACTAGGAAAAATGTATTGACTTAACCTGCTTTTCAATGAGATATGAAGTTGGCCTATAAGTTTGGATGTTTTTTAAAGCTTTTTTCCCTTTTTATTTTTTAACCTTAAACCTTAGTAGTGTCAAGTTTTATCTTTTCTGGATGTTGTCTTTCAAGACTCAAACATGGATTTTTCTCTTATTCTTTAATAAAGGGGGAATGGTTGTTGAAACTTGAACAAAACATCTTCCATAGATATTTGGTTAGGTGTTTGTTCAAAGCTCTTTTGTATTTTATTAATACACTCCTAGCTCCTAACATCTATCTACATAAGGAAATTTTAAAAAATCCTATACTTGCTAATACTGGTTCACGCCCATCAGTACTGGCAATGTAGGGGAGCCCTAGTGTAGGCACATTGTCAGCCGCTGCACTGTTTTAACCAACACGTTACATAACCTAGCTCAGTGCTGGTGTAATCAGCACAGTGGCGCCCGACATTGCTATCATCAATGAGCTGGTGAGCAACTTTTAGAAACATTTTATTGTGTAGATCAGACCTTTGCAGTTTGGCATTTTGAGGCAGGGAAAATTGGGTATAAGTTGATTCTCTTGAGTTCCCTTTCAACTGGCATGCTTAAGCTCCTTCTAGAACATACTTAGTTGCTAAGTGTGCAAGAAGCAAGAGTTTCTCTATTAATAGCTACTGTACAAATCACAAATCTGAATTCTCTACAAGATGAAATTTTCAAGATGGAAATAAAACATATTTAAATGCCTTGAATAAAAATTCTGTCAATCAGCATTCATTTATTTGGTAAATGTGGTAATCCTACTAATTCTGAAGTCAGCCACATAGTCTTGCAAGAGAAGCAGATATGAATTTCAAGTGTAAAAAAAGAAAAGCAAAAAGAATAAAAACACTCCATAGATGTCTTCTATATAACATAAAAAACAAAGAGCTTACACTATATTTTCTCCATTGCAGGTCACCTTTAAAGTCATTAGGTGCTAAGTTACCCCAGCGATAGGCATCTTAGAAATAAGATAGAACAAGATCTAAGAGAAAAATCAGTCATATTTACAACATAAACTTGTGCAGAGGAGTCATCTCATTGCCACATTTCAGGTAAATGAGTTCTTCTTAGTGCCAAGAATCAAATACGTCATTGAGAAAATTTTCAGAACAGAAGACTGTCACAATTGGGAACTGCTAGCATAAGACTGGAAGCTTGGTCACCTGAATTATGTTTCCACTGTCACTGAGTTGCTGTGGTCTTGTGTATGCTATGGTTCTTCCTAAGATGTGGCATACCATGTCCACACACACAAGTGTTTGCAGTGGTGCACAGGAGTTCCAAGCACTTTTTTGAACTAACTTTTTTTGAGCAATGTGAACCATTGAGTGGTCCTCCACTATACCAATCTCTGCCTTTGCAATGTATGCATAGACAGAGATTGCTGCAGACCCCTAAAAGCAAATATTCCTACTGCTACCATTCCATAGGGCACTGGTCACTGCTTAGGCAGCCTGTCTGATATGCATTCTGAACTCTGCTACATAGGGATCAGGTTTTCTGGAAGCCAATTTCCTATTCAAATAGCACTATACCCAACATGGAGCTCAGTTGTGTGCTATTTGATTCTGTTACTAGATGTCTCGGAAGCTACCAAATAAGGGTGTTGCCAGCTGGCCTGAGGCTGACATGGGCACTGGAGACCATATGCAAGGGCAGCTGCACTTGTTCATTCACAGTATTTTAATGTTTGACTGGCTAAACTGGTCATCAGATGGGGTACATCTACATTTGAGCTGGGAGGTGTGATTCCCAGCTTGCATAGAGGTAGCCATGCTAACTCTGCTTGAGCGAGTGCCTCAAAATATCAGTGTGTCTGTGGCAGCTGAGGCTAGCCACCTGAGTACGTACCCAGGGACCCAAGCGGGATTGTATTTGGGGCAGCTTGGCCGAGCCACCGCCTGTGCTGCTGCGGACACACTATTTTTAGGTGCTAGCTCAAGCAGAGATAGTGGGGGTACATCTGTGTGAGCTGGGAAGTGTAGATGTACGCTTAGAGGGGAGAAGTATTACCAAGAGAAGACAAAGAGCCTGGAAGTCCTATATAACAAGACGTGGAAGAATAACAGTAGGTCCTTCTTGGCAGAAAACGTGCCTCTTTCACAATGATCTGGATCAAATCCTGAAGGCTCACCCTTCTGCACAATTAAAGATGCTTCTGGATAGCACAGAAAGTCCATACAGTGCAGTCCATCAGGACAAAGAGGCAAACAAAGAGATCTTGTATACATTTGCAGGATATACTTGTGGGGATCTACGGACAGCAGTTGAGTCAATACAGAAGGAGGAATTGAAAGGTGAGGGGCATCTAAAGAAGATGGCTGATTTTGCAATCTTGATTGTTGGAAAAAGTTTCCCAGGTTCTTAGAAAAGCTGCCATTAGGATTAATAAAAGGAAACAGCATCTTACAATAGTGAAAGTGTTTATCACTTCAGTTCCACCAGCAGCCTTTTCCTTCCCAGTCTTGCTATGTCTCCATCTCCTTGGTGCACAAGTGCAGCTGCCAAGTTCCTCCATAG